ACAGTTGATTTTGAGATCTAGATTTGTATTGAAATCTCCTGCTATGATATTTAAAGCATTGGTATCTAGTGCTGGAGTCCAATTGCTGAAAAATTGATATCTGTCTTCTTAATTTGAAGGAGCGTAAATGTTGGTAATAACATATTGACATTGTTTGTATGTTAGTTTAGATGAAATTACTTAGTTATTGTGTGAGACTTGGGTTTTAAAGAATTTGATGTTTGCTTTTCCAGCTAAAATAGCTGTTTTGGAGGTCCAAATTAAGTCGTATTCCCACTGTTGTAAGAGAAATTTTCTTGTTGCTGTATCTTTAAGGTTTATTTCTTGCAAGAGTATTAGATCTATTTTGTAAGATTTTAATAAAATTAAAGTTTTTTTTGATTAAACACGAGGAGAAGTAATTTCTTGAGAGTTATTCTCCTTGTTTACTTTGTTAACTCTAGTGAGTGGAGAAAAACTTGCTTTCTTCACTTTGTTTTTGTATTTTCCTTTTCTTGAGATAACAAGAGTAAATTCTCTTTCGTCTTTGTTGTTCTTTTCATTATTAGATATGATTTTTATTTCTATATCTGTTGTTGTAGCATTGTTTGCTGATATATCTGCAGCTTCTGGTTCATTTTCAGTTGTTTCCATCTTATTAGTTTCTGTTTTTGTGTCTGTGAGCTCATGTTCTTCTGTCTGAGATGTTTCTGATGAAGTTGTCTCTATTGGAGATTGAGATATGATTTGTGTTTCTGTATTGATTTCATTAGTTTTTTCCTGAATTATTTCTGAAATATAAGGATTTTCTGGGCTAAATTGAGTTTGTGCTTCAGCTTTGTTTGGATTCTGATTTTCTGCTTTAAGTTCTCTTTGCTTCTTGTATTCTCTTAACCTTTGTCTGAATTCAATCGAAGTTTTTAACTTGCAGTCCTTCTTGATATATCCTGTTTGTTCACAGTAGTAGCAGACTTTTGAAGCTTCTTTCCAGTCTGTTGAGACTTTGTGATCTCCTATATGTATATACCTAGGAAGTCTTTGGGCTAGATCAGGGTTCTCTGTAGTTTCAAAAGTAATGATCTATTAATCTGAGCATACTGATGTCTCTTTGAATAGAAGCGGTTTGATTGATGCGATAGTGCCTATATCTTGAAATGCTATTTTGACCAGTTCATTTATTTGTTCCTTTTCTCCTATTGGCATGTTTCTTAGCTTAACTGAAAGAAAATTATGTTTGAGATTTATTAGAATATAACCAAGCAAGGTTTGGTTGAAGATACTAATTCCTTCTAATGCATAAAGCTTTTGTTTGTCTTTGTTAACAAAGACAGTCTCTAAAAAAGCACGTTTTTCTCTTTGTATATGCATTTTGGCTGCTAGTAGGTCTTCTCCAAGTTTGGTTGCCAGATCTAGAATGATGTTATTTGTCAAGATATTTACTAGATTCTGGATGTTAAAAATAAGTGCATTTTCATTTTTGGATGTGGCCTTTCTTCCTTTTAGTTTAGAGAAAAGTTCTGACCACTGCTTGTTTCTGGGAGGTTGATTTCCTGTTTGGGTGGTTTGTAATCTATCGGTCTGGGAACTGGGTTCATCCTTTGGATTGAGATCTGTTGTTTGTGCATCATCACATGTTGGGTTTACATGTTTTTGTTTATTGTTTATTTTATTTGTTGTATTTACGTGATTTGTTGTTTTTGCAAAGTTAGCACGTGTTTCTTGTTGTTTGTGAGAATTTTCAATTTTGTTTTCTTCTGTATTTTCTTGTTCTTCTTTCACTTGGTTGGCCTAGCTTGTGTTAAACTTATTGAAGTCTATGTTCACTGATATTTTTGTTTCTAGTCTAAGACTATTGTTGCTGTTGTTATTGTTGTTGCCTGTTTCTTTGATATTTTCTTTGTTTTCTTCAACTTTTGTAAAGTCAAAGATTTTGTTATTGTTTGAACAAAGCCTGGGCTTTTTGTTGTTTAGTTGCTTACTTATGTCTAAAGTAATAAGTTCGTGCTTTCTGAACCTTAAGGTTCTTGTCTCATTAGGAGAGTTGAAATAAACTGGAAAGAGTTTTTTTTTTGTGTCCAGTGTTGGAGTCCAATTGCTAAAAAATTGATATTTGTCTTCCTGATTTGGAGGAGCATAAATGTTGGTAATGACATATTGACATTGCTTGTATATTAGTTTTGTTAAAATTACTTGATCATTGTGTAATACTTGGGTTTCCTAGCTAGAGTAGCTGTTTTGAAGATCCAAATTGAGTCATATCCCCACTGTTGTGAGAGAAATTTTCTTGTTGCTAGGTCTTTAAGATTTGTTTCTTGTAAGAGTATTAGGTCTATTTTGTAAGATTTTAATAAAGTTAAAGTTTTTTGAGCCTTTACATTATTGTTAAAGCCTTTTACGTTCAGTGTAGCGATCTTAATCATGATGTAGATATTTGGCCACACTTGTGGTTGTTTTGATTAAATGCGAGGAGAAGTAACTCCTTGGGAGTTATTCTTCTTATCTATTTTGTTAACTCTGGTGAATGGAGAGAAACTTTCTTTCTTCACTTTGTTTTTGTATTTTTCTTTTTTCAAGATAGCAAGAGTAAATTCTCTTTTGTCTTTGCTTTTTTTTCCATTATTAGATATGATATCCATCTCATTAGTTTTTGACTTTGTGTCTGTGATCTTGTGTTCTTTTGTTTGAGATGTTTTTGATAAGGTTGTCTCTATTTGAGATTGAGGTATGTTTTGTGTTTCTGTGGTGTTTTCATCAGCTTTTTCCAAAATCATTTCTGAAATATAAGGATTTTTTGAACTGAATTGAGTTTGTGTTTTGGCTTTGTTTAGATTCTGACTCTCTGCTTTAAGTTCTCTTTGTTTCTTGTATTCTTTTAATCTTTGTCTAAATTCGATTGAAGCTTTTAATTCCTTGCAGTCCTTCTTGATATGCCCTATTTGTTCACAGTAGTAACAGACTTTTGGAGCTTCTTTCCAGTCTGTTAAGACTTTGTGGTCTTCTACATGTGTATACCTAGGAAGTTTTTGGGCTAGATTGGGGTCCTCTGTAG